CACAGGGGTTTACTTCAGAGCAGCAGATGTGGAGAGAGAAAGAGAGAGAGGGCTGGACTGGGCTTGGGGAAACATTCCGGCTCATTCCAGCTCCCAGGCTTTTTAAAACACCAGCGTGCTGCTGTTCCTTTCCTGGGCCTCTCGACTGAGAGGCACGTAGCCAGCCAGCCAGCAAAGAGGAACTTCACTCTGGGCCAAAAAACCACTGAGAAGAAGAAACCGTTACTTTCAGTTCAAAACTTCCATTCACTCTTTTTGGCTGGCAGGCTCCACCCTAGTAACACATTTTAAATAGTGGTTGATCCTGGTGTTGTGAGGCTGTTTTTAAGCAGCTGAAGTTGTTGCTTGCGTGACAAAAACAGCAGACTAGAAGTCTCTCTGGTTTATAAGCAGCAATATTTATGGGTTTTATTTAGTCACCACTGGCCTAGCAGTGGGTACCAGCAGACAGGAGTGCTGACAACTGTTGTGATTGAATTGGTTCGCCCATTGATACCATAACCGTAATAGATGCTAACCTACCTACTGCCATGCATACCATAATTCAATTGTGAAATCTCCCATTCCAGTTGCCTCCCATGGACAACATTTGAATAACTTGTGATGATTGATGGATGGTCTTATGTGCTTTATTGCAGATGTGTGTGTGCAGCTATTAGCATACCACAGTAGCCTAATATAGACAAACAAAATAAGGATCACTTTTCAAACTAAACTGGAGCTTATCATTTAAGCCATATTGAACATAGTGTTGCACACTTGATTAATGCAACGATTCACAAATGTGCGGACATTTTAAAAGCCTTTAATTTTCAATTTGGCTAACAGAACAAAAATGCCGTCACTGGTATTAAGGCAATTCTTGCAGGGACGTGTGGCTTTGGAGAGCCATTATCTTTACATTGTACCATTCAGAGGGGGGTATGTGATGTAGATGTGTTCCACACTACCTACAGAGGTGGCTTGGGAAAGAGATGCGTATCTAGATCTGTCTCTTTACACTGCAAGAATGTGCGTCATGGAACTGTTATGTGTTGTCCAACTAGTCTAGTGTAAAGAAGCGATAAGGGTTTAGTTGAATGCTTATGATTTACGCTGGCTTTTATCAGTCTCAACAGTTTCACAGAATGTTCTTCGAAATGGTTGAAGTGAATTCTGCCAAACTGGTTGTTTACCAACAAGTCCGTACAAGGCACATAGGCTACGTGCTCCGTCTTGCTCAAGGAAATCTTTGATGCTGTTATATTTCCCGACGCTTATCAACAGGCTTACATATTTGTCATTCTTTGGAGACATTCTCCCTCTCAATGGTAGCATTTTATTTCTAACACCGTTATGCATGTTTATCAGATGTAAGTCACCTTATCTTTTCTATAAGACTGCCTTTTTATCAGTGCGTTTCCAGATGCAGATTCATGCCATTTTTTAAATATAAAGCTTTCTGCAGGCTTCACGTGCATGTAATGAAAGTTTAGGTTTGATTTGCATTACTTCGTTTTGTGCCTACCAGTAGGCTGTAGGTTACTCCGCTAACAGCTTGCTAGCTATCTGGCTAAAAACAGCGAGCAAGCTATGTGAAATAATACGATTTAGAAATGATTTGCCCTGGCAAATGATCTTATAGCCTACTCGCCAGTTTAACCTACAACATTATCCCAATTTGAGAAGCTGCTTCAATGTATTTGCTCCCATATCGGCTAAAAATAGAATGTAATATCATGGAGAAAAGGCTACCAGCTGTTTTTACAGTGTAGCAGTAGTTATTACTTCTCAACATAATACCTTTTTGGGGGTATTCCAATAAGGCTACAATGTTTGTCTTATTGTTTGAGCAGTCACTGAGATTTTATGTTTTGTTATCAATGCAGAATATGCTGCTTTGATGCATAGCCTATAGATCAGATCAAGGAACCGAGCGATAACACTGCCCCCACGGCTCCTTAAGGAATGATACGGCACGTCTCCATTTTCAGGTAGCACAAAAGTACGTTGAATGCCGGAGCGTATTACAAGGAGCTGCCCCTTTTGTGAGGAAAAAAGGCATTGCAACACTGCGCTACGATCCGTGTATAACGTCTCTAGAGTGTATAGACCAATGATGTTTATAAACCCTGGATGACTGACGGCGGGGCGCTGTATTGAAGCCACTGAACAGCCATCATGGTACTCCTCCTCAATTGTGAAAAATAAGAAACTAAAAAGATTTTGGAAGCTATAGAAATGCATTTATTGTCTACATTTGTTTTTGAAAAATGTATTATATTACAGACATCTTAATGCATACTTTAAAATTATGTGAGCTAAACAAAAAGATACAACATTTTCCTTGTTTTGTTGTTGTTGAGAGTACCAATGTTACTGTCCCCACTACAACAACAAAATACTTAAATACATGTAATGTTGTCCTTGAAACATTTAATTGAAATACTGTAGAATTCCATTCATTCTTATGGAGGACTGCTCTTACTAGGAAGTGCCAAAATGGCCGACCGGTGGCTTCAAAGCCTCTCAATAGCCAATGCGTAGCATCAGCAATCCAGGGTTTATATACGTCATTAGCTAGGACTGGACAAAAATGCTTAATGTATGCACCCAGATGAGTGCTGTGGTGGCTGTTTTGGAACTGCGTAGTTGGTCATGCTTTTATGCATGTGAATGCAGTGCAGTAGGCAAGGGCGACAAGAGTATGACGCAGACAAAAATAAAGAGAGTGAGAGAAAGAGATGAGGGAGCTTTACATTGAGAGGGAAGAGTTGGCATCTAGGAGAGATATATAGGGTGTTTGTATCCAGTAAAAAGGTAAATAGTATGAAAGTTGGTCCCATTGCAGCTCCACCAGAGAGAGACTCAGGAATGAGAGGGAGAGAATGAGACAGTGAAGACTGGGAGAGTACACTCTGCCTGCATAGCTGGAGATTGAGATAATAGAGCATTCTCCTTTTCGGGGGCCTCTTTAGTGCTCGGGGTGAAGAACATCTGCTATACTGAGACATTTTCTGAAGGGGGGGTGGGCTGCTCCATGTTCAAATATGCCTTTCTGTTCCACTTTCTCAAGCCTATGATAGATAGCCATACCCCTTCTAAAGTCAAAGACCCAATGGGGCAGTATGCTCTAATGTGGTGGGAACTCAATAGAGCTGATGGCAGCTGTGGTATAGTCGGGGTGGGAATGGCACTCCTTTGGTGGAGGGGGGCACACAGACTGCACAGTACACTGATTTGTGGCATTGTGATGAATCAGTAGAATTGTACTAAGTGCTGATTGCAGTAACTTGGGGCATAATGCAGGCAGGACAATAAATGGATACGCGGTGAATGGGAACCAAATGGCTGCTGTTTCTCTCTCACACACACACACTGTGTTGGGTCATCTGTGCTGCTAGCGCTGTAGTTGACTACTTTACACAGTTGAGTCCCCTGTTTTTATTTTGAAGTTCTGGTCTTTTTGTTATGATTATTTTGTTTAGATGCTAAATGTAGCCTATGTTGTTTTGGACTACTCCTGTAGTAGACCTGTATGATGACAGACAGTAAAGTAGAAATGACTTAAAATATGAAAGAAGTCAGACCTATAGGGTTTGTTTATTCTGCATTTCCACTGGTTGAGATTTCAACCAAACAAGCTAAGAGGATTTCAAGCCATCAAATTAGAGCTGATCACATTCAAACAGCAAACGAAACCTCTCTAAATCACACACTATTCAACGATACAAAAAAAGTACAGAACTTAATTTGACGACAACAATAAAATCTATCCACATTGTAATTTTTTTTCTCTTTTTAATGCTTCACCAAACTGCGCTTGGTCCAGCTCCATTCCAGTAAAACGCCTGTTTTATGGGCCTGTGTGCGTGAGAGGGCTCACATGTGCGTTTCATTACTTGATCGCCTCCAGAGACTGGAGTCTGAATCAGCAAATCTTCTTACTGGAGGCGTAGCATGTCTGCCAGCAGGATTAGCCACAGGTTGCAGAGAGGGAAGTGGGGGGGAGAGGGAGAGAGGGAGAGAGAGGAGGTAGAGGCTGTGAGGAGGGAGGGAGGGGTAGCGAAAGAAGGAATGAAGGAGAAAGAGATTAGATGTGGAGAGAGGGATGGACAGAGAAAGAGAAGATATTGAGAGAGGGAGAGATATTTGGGCAGAATAGCCAAATGTGAATAAAAGGCATGGGTATCGTGAAAGCCAGCCTCGCGTTGAGAGAGAGCGTGGAGTAATATAATGGTCCAAAGGGGACTTATTGTAGCCAGGCCCCTGCTGCAGATACCCCAGTTCATATTTAATACTGTGGCTCCCACTAAATGTAATAAGGGTCACTCACGCTAGCTATATCAGTTTTAACGTAGACTGCAGACACATTTACATTTGAGTCACTTAGCAGACGCTCTTATCCAGAGTGACTTACAGTTATTGAGTGCATACATTATTTAATTTTTCATACTGGCCCTCCGTGGGAATCGAACCCACAACCCTGGCGTTGCAAACGCCATGCTCTACCAACTGAGCTACATCCCTGCCAGCCATTCCCTCCCCTACCCTGGACGACGCTGGGCCAATTGTGCGCCGCCCCATGGGTCTCCCGGTCGCGGCCGGCTACGACAGAGCTTGTATTCCAACCAGGATCTCTAGTGGCACAGCTAGCACTGCGATGCAGTGCCTTAGACCACTGCACCCTCCCGCTTTGCCAATTTTTAAATTACCCTGATACGTTTTTCATGCTGGCTAAACAAAGGTTGATTAAGTTGTGTTCTTATAGATTATAATGGGAATTATTTGATTGAAATAATTGATGTAGTCCCTAAAACAAAGAATATAGGCCTAGATGTTAATGTTTCTTGCCATTATCTATCAGATAATTTCATTGTGGAAGCTTTAATTGTCAGTCGTCAAATTGTACATTATGTTACTGGTTTATTAATTACCGTCAGTTGAACCGAATATTTTGCACAAATCACCAAATTATTATTTTATTTTGTAGTTTTTTTCTATTTTTGTTTTCTCTTAGATTTGCCTCCAGTGTAGCAACAGGCTTTTCATTGGCTCTGTGAGTGCATGTGTTGCTCTTTTCTCTCTGCAGAGGGAGACATAATCTCACTTTTCTCATGCCTGCAGCCCAATTTCATGTGTCCAAGCTCAAGGCTGCATGTTATATAGCCTATTTCTCATGTAACATACTGCATGCTATACTAATAAGCCCCACTGACCTTCCCATTTCACCCAATAGCTTTCTGATACTATTCTTACATATGTAGTCCGTCATCTGTGCCCCATGCCCTGACCTGGCCACAGTCATGTCTGCAGTTGGGGAGAGATTGTTCCTCTGTAGCCTACACCAGCAGCTCACCACAGCACCAATGGTAGCTGCGTTGACTTCCTCAACCTGTGGTTGACTGACTGGCTGACTGAGCTGAGGACTGGGAGATTATGAGGAGGCCTGCCATTCACACTGGCTTGTGGAGACTCGTTCAAGGGGCCCCTCTCTCTCGCTTTCTGTCGAGCACTCTCTTGCTCTTCTCAAGTTGCCAGGGCAGCCAGCTTTTCAGATTGGGAGAAAGTTTGAACAGATTGTCTGATGCACAGTCCTCCGCTGCAGTGAAAACAAGACCAGGGTGAATTTTAACACATTCAGTGCCCCCTTTTAAGTTTTTTCTGAATTAGAGGAGGAAACAGTTTGTTCTTTCGTGAATAACCTATTCAGCAGTAGGCTGCTACTCTTAAACATTCACATTTTCTTGCAGTGTGTCTTTGCATAAACTTGCACTACCCTGGCCCCTTTGAGGAATTGTCTCAAGCCTGGGTGAAGGTTTCTGCTCTGTGCACAAACATCCTAAATGCGGGCAAAGAAAACATTTCATTTTTTTTAGCTGTAGGAGAGACAGCGCTGAAAGCTGCAGAAGGACTTACCCTACCTGTATGTTTGAACGCCCTGTTAGCTTTCAGCAGAGCAAAGGGGCCAGAGAAGGGGCAAATATATTTTCTCTCTCTCCCCCTCCTTCTGTCTCTCTCGCTCTCTCTCCTCGGTGTGTCTCTCTCTGTGTCTCTCTTTTGCTTTCTCTGTCTCTCTTTCTCTGTGTGTGTCTTGCTGTGTTGTGTCTTCGTCGCTCTCTCTCTTCTCTCTCTCTCTCTTCTCTCTTGTACTATCTCGCTCTCTTCGTCTATCTTCTCTCTCTCTCTCGGCTCTCTCTCTCGGTTTCTCTCTCTCTGTCTCTCTCTCTCTCTCTCTCTGTGTGTGTCTCTCTCTCTCTGTGTGTTTCTCTCTGTGTCTCTCTCTCTGGTCTTGTCTCTCTCTCTCTTCTCTCTCTCGTGTCTCTCTCTCTGTGTGTGTGTGTGTCTCTCTCTCTCTTCTCTGGTGTGTGTCTGCTCTCTCTGTGTGTGTCTCTCTCTCTGTGTGTGTCTCCTGTGTGTGTCTCTCTCTCTGGGGGTTCGCTCTCTCTCTTGTGTGTGTCTCTCTCTCTGTGTTGTGTCTCGCTTCTTGTGTGTGTTGTCTCTCTCTCTCTCTGTGTGTGTCTCCCCTTTTGTGTGGTCTCTCTCTCTCTCTGTGTGTGTCTCTCTCTGTGTGGTCTCTCTCTCTCTGGTGTGTGTCTCTCTCTCTGTGTGGGGTCTTCTTCTGGTGTTCTCTCTCTGTGGTGTGTGTTTGTCTCTCTCTGTTTGTGTGTGTGGTCTCTCTCTGTGTGTGTCTCTCTCTCTGTGTGTGTCTTTGCTCTCTGTGTGGTGTCTCTCTCTCTCTGTGTGTGTTTCTCTCTTCTGGTGTGTGTCTCTCTCTGTGTGTGTCTCCTCTCTGTTGTGTTTTCTCTCCTCTGTGTGTGTGTCTTCTCTCTCTGTGTGTGTCTCTCTCTCTGGGTGTTGTGTGTCTCTCTCTGTGTGTGTCTCTCTCTGTGTGTGTCTCTCTCTCTCTCTGTGTGTCTCTCTCTCTGTGTGTCTCTGTTCTCTCTCTTTCTCTCTCTGAGCCTAAGGGGCCTCCATTCGATCCATTCTAATCACCAACTAATCTGCCCAATTTTTTTGGCCATTTTGTCTGTCACTCGACACCGGCCCGTTGGCGTTGGAACCATCAGGTCGCCCCGATTGTACCGAGAAGCATCTCTATCTCCCCCTCCCTGTGTCATTCACAGGGCAGCTATGGATAGAGTAAATAAACACAGCTCCAGACACTTTGAATAGTACTGCAGTTTGACGGAATGTCTCGCAACCGATTGGGGGGAGAAGATTGCATGGCATCTGGCTGCCTAACTGACAATATAGGTCTACTCAAAACTTTGTATGATACTTGTGCTAAAATCAGTGTGTGTGTCTATGTACAGATGAACATAGACTTAGCATTTCACTTTAGGTAGTGTACTTTGTTCTATTGTTAAGAACCCCAATGTGTCTTACTGTAGATATCACAAAGGTAAATCAAGTCTTATCTGTAGTCTAGGAATTGTAGAATATGTTTCTATATAAGTAGAAGAGCAAGGAGATGATTGTATCTAGGTTACATTTACATTTACGTCATTTAGCAGACGCTCTTATCCAGAGCAACTTACAAATAGGTGCATTCACCTTATAGCCAGTGGGATAACCACTTTACAATGTTTTTTTTGTTTTTATGTTTTTTTTTTTTTGGGGGGGGTGAGGGGGGGGGGGGCTAGAAGGATTACTTTATCCTATCCCAGGTATTCCTTAAAGAGGTGGGGTTTCAAATGTCTCCGGAAGGTGGTGAGTGACTCCGCTGTCCTGGCGTCGTGAGGGAGCTTGTTCCACCATTGGGGTGCCAGAGCAGCGAACAGTTTTGACTGGGCTGAGCGGGAACTATGCTTCCGCAGAGGTAGGGGAGCCAGCAGGCCAGAGGTGGATGAACGCAGTGCCCTCGTTTGGGTGTAGGGACTGATCAGAGCCTGAAGGTACGGAGGTGCCGTTCCCCTCACAGCTCCGTAGGCAAGCACCATGGTCTTGTAGCAGATGCGAGCTTCAACTGGAAGCCAGTGTAGTGTGCGGAGGAGCGGGGTGACGTGAGAGAACTTGGGAAGGTTGAACACCAGACGGGCTGCGGCATTCTGGATGAGTTGTAGGGGTTTAATGGCACAGGCAGGGAGCCCAGCCAACAGTGAGTTGCAGTAATCCAGACGGGAGATGACAAGTGCCTGGATTAGGACCTGTGCCGCTTCCTGTGTAAGGCAGGGTCGTACTCTCCGAATGTTGTAGAGCATGAACCTACAGGATCGGGTCACCGCCTTGATGTTAGCGGAGAACGACAGGGTGTTGTCCAGGGTCACGCCAAGGCTCTTCGCACTCTGGGAGGAGGACACAACGGAGTTGTCAACCGTGATGGCGAGATCATGGAACGGGCAGTCCTTCACCGGGAGGAAGAGCAGCTCTGTCTTGCCGAGGTTCAGCTTGAGGTGGTGATCCGTCATCCATACTGATATGTCTGCCAGACATGCAGAGATGCGATTCGCCACCTGGTTATCAGAAGGGGGAAAGGAGAAGATTAGTTGTGTGTCGTCAGCGTAGCAATGATAGGAGAGGCCATGTGAGGATATGACAGAGCCAAGTGACTTGGTGTATAGCGAGAATAGGAGAGGGCCTAGAACTGAGCCCTGGGGGACACCAGTGGTGAGAGCACGTGGTGCGGAGACAGCTTCTCGCCACGCCACTTGGTAGGAGCGACCGGTCAGGTAGGACGCAATCCAAGAGTGAGCCGCGCCGGAGATGCCCAGCTCGGAGAGGGTGGAGAGGAGGATCTGATGGTTCACAGTATCAAAGGCAGCAGACAGGTCTAGAAGGACAAGAGCAGAGGAGAGAGAGTTAGCTTTAGCAGTGCGGAGAGCCTCCGTGACACAGAGAAGAGCAGTCTCAGTTGAATGACCAGTCCTGAAACCTGACTGGTTTGGATCAAGAAGGTCATTCTGAGAGAGATAGCAAGAGCGTTGGCTAAAGACGGCACGCTCAATAGTTTTGGAAAGAAAAGAAAGAAGGGATACTGGTCTGTAGTTGTTGACATCAGAGCGATCGAGTGTTGGTTTTTTGAGAAGGGGTGCATCTCTCGCTCTCTTGAAGACGGAAGGGACATAGCCAGCGGTCAAGGATGAGTTGATCAGCGAGGTGAGGTAAGGGAGAAGGTCACTGGAGATGGTCTGGAGAAGAGAGGAGGGGATAGGGTCAAGCGGGCAGGTTGTTGGGCGGCCTGCCGTCACAAGTCGCAAGATTTTATCTGGAGAGAGAGGGGAGAAAGAAGTCAAAGCATAGGGTAGGGCAGTGTGAGCAGGACCAGCAGTGTCATTTGACTTAACAAACGAGGATCGGATGTCGTCAACCTTCTTTTCAAAATGGTTGACGAAGTCATCCACAGAGAGGGAGGAGGGGGGGGGGGGATTCAGCAGGGAGGAGAATGTGGCAAAGAGCTTCCTAGGGTTAGAGGCGGATGCTTGGAATTTAGTGGTAGAAAGTGGCCTTAGCAGCAGAAACAGATGAAGAAAATGTAGAGAGGAGGGAGTGAAAAGATGCCAGGTCTGCAGGGAGTCTAGTTTTCTTCCATTTCCGCTCAGCTGCCCGGAGCTCTGTTCTGTGAGCTCGCAATGAGTCATCAAGCCACGGAGCTGGAGGGGAGGACCGAGCCGGCCGGGAGGATAGGGGACATAGAGAGTAAAGGATGCAGAAAGGGAGGAGAGGAGGGTTGAGGAGGCAGAATCAGGAGATTGGAGGGAGAAGGATTGAGCAGAGGGAAGAGATGATAGGATGGAAGAGGAGAGAGTAGCGGGAGAGAGAGAGCGAAGGTTGCGACGGCGCATTACCATCTGTGTAGGGGCAGAGTGAGTAGTGTTGGAGGAGAGGGAGAGAGAAAAGGATACAAAGTAGTGGTCGGAGACTTGGAGGGGAGTTGCAGTGAGATTAGTAGCATCTAGTAAAGATGAGGTCAAGCGTATTGCCTGCCTTGTGAGTAGGGGGGGACGGTGAGAGGGTGAGGTCAAAAGAGGAGAGGAGTGGAAAGAAGGAGGCAGAGAGAAATGAGTCAAATGTAGACGTAGGGAGGTTGAAATCCCCCAGAACTGTGAGGGGTGAGCCATCCTCAGGAAAGGAACTTATCAATGCGTCAAGCTCATTGATGAACTCTCCAAGGGAACCTGGAGGGCGATAGATGACAAGGATATTAAGCTTAAATGGGCTAGTGACTGTGACAGCATGGAATTCAAATGAGGAGATAGACAGATGGGTCAGGGGAAAAATTTAGAATGGTGTTGCTAGGCTTGTTATCCTGCATATTGACTTTTAGTAGCGGTGGGGCCAGGTGTAAATTTAGCCCCAGGTTGTGAAGTGAGTTTCCCAGAAGCGGAAGGCCGAGGCTGGCAGGGCTTTGGCAGTAGAGGGGGACAGCAGTGTAGGATGTCTGTCTGGGTAGGAAGGTTACACTTCCAAGCCGTACAAAGGTGGAACTGGATGTCAAGCTCTCTATTTGGGGAAACTTTGGTGTTCCATTAGCTCAAAGTTCACTGCTTCTGAGAAAACGCCCCTCTTTCTGTTCCATGTGGTGCGTTCCACACAGTAATGTCTTCCAGATGGCAGTTGTCTCTAGCCTACACGGGTGAGCGTGTTTGGTGGCTAAAGGTCTCTCTCTCTTCTGATCCAGTCGGTTCACACGCAATCGGACAGAGTTTTCCACAGCGTTCGGTGTGAAACGAGGACATAGCAATAAATATGGCAGATCATTATTTAGCCTAGCAAGCAGCCTCCTGGGGGACTGAACGTTTCCAGGCTAATGACCGGCGTGAATGCGTAGATAGCTACGCTAGATGCCCACTTTCATGCCCGTTTACAAAAAAGTTAAACAATTTCAGGGTAGAGAGAGGGGGGGGTGAAAGAAAACGTGAAAGGGGCTCCATTCATGGTTGTCTGCATTTGAAACTGCAGACTCAAAGCTTCTAACAGTTGGCCCTTTCAGAAAAGTGCTCTTTAAAAATAACCTTTTTGTAAATCCAAATAAAATCGGTGCCAGCCCCCGGACCCTTTCATGTCCACCACACCTGGATGCTAAGATCTAATGGGGGAAAAAAGCCTCAGACCTGGCTTGTCTCATGCATATCACTGGGTGTTTGCTTGGTCCAACCCAGCGTAACCTTAATGGTATCTACTGCTCAGCACCTTTCTAACCTGAATCGTTGGGTTGTGCACGGTTGCCTTTTGGTCTCTCCACCGCTCCTTTGGTCTGATGTCTTCTATACCTTTTGAAGTTGCGCTCCAGTCCCAAATCTCCTTTCCTGCCCATTTGAAAGGCACAGCCGCTCTCTGCCCACAACATCACACCATGTGAATGCAAAGTGGGATTAATATATTAGCCTGCCTGAGGGCAAGGGGTGTGGATAGAGGCCATCTTGGTGGTGGGACTGAAGTGGAGGCCCAAAATGGACCCCTTTGTGTCTTGTTAGGACTCTCTTACATATAACCAACAAGGGCTTGATTAAACAAGGGTTGGGTGATTTTCAATTAATGTACTGAATTTCAATTCACTTCCTGATACGTTTAAATGAAATTGACCCCCAACCCTGCCTATAAACTTAGACTTAGGCCTACAACTCATCCCCTCCCAGCCTGTCTTTCTCTTAGCCTTCACCATTTTGTTACCTATTGAATCCTGAAGATGACCTTTTTAAGTGAAAATGACAAACGTAAATACTGAACTACTATTCCTCTCTTCTTCTCTCGTCTTCCAGGCTCAGCCCTACTGGACCTGACGGAGCAGTTTGCCCTCCCAGAGACGGCCCCCCCCATGCTGGCTAGGCTGCTGGAGGCCATCGAGAGGAAAGGTGAGCTGAGCTGGCCAGTACACACCGGACTAATACAAACTGGTCATCTAAACATTTACATTTTAGTCATTTAGCAGACGCTCTTATCCAGAGCGACTTACAGGAGCAATTAGGGTTAAGTGCCTTGCTCAAGGGAACATCGGCAGATTTTTTTTGCCTAGTTGGCTAAGGGGATAAAGAACCAGCGACCGTTCAGTTACTGGCACAACGCTCTTAACCACTAAGCTACCTGCCGCCCTTTTCCTATATTTCCTATATTTGCATTCTAGAAGATTCGCTGCTCGTGTATCAACAACATTATTTAAATACCCTAAATACATTTACATTTACATTTTAGTCATTTAGCAGACGCCCTTATCCAGAGCGACTTACAGTTAGTGAATACATTATTATTTTTTTTATACTGGCCCCCCGTGGGAAATGTGTTGTGTTGTGGAATTATTTTTATAGTGATTTTATGGACTTTCTAGGAATCAAAGTAATGGCAGCTTAGCTATGGACTTTCTAGGAATCAAAGTAATGGCAGCTTAGCTATGGACTTTCTAGGAATCAAAGTAATTGCATTTTAGCTAGTGGCTTATTATGTGCTCCTTGATTCTGTGTAGGTCTGGACAACCCAACTCTGTACAGGACCTTCACAGCGGGTGGTGGACTGGATGTCAGACAGTGCTTTGACACTGGTGAGTAGAATTCATGTTATTCACTTATTTCCACCCAAATTCAAATTCAATGTCTCTTTAATTATTATTATTATTATTATATATTTTTTGAAAAGCTGTTAGACCTTGAGCAAACGTTGTGTGTGTGTTGTGTTCAGATCCCCCGTCAGCAGACCTGGACCAGATGGACCTGCAGATGTTGTGTGACGGTCTCCGTCGGTACCTGCAGGATCTTCCCCAGCCTGTCATCCCACCAGCCATTTACACTCAGCTGGTTCACACCGCCCAAGGTACACACACACTGTAAACACTGCCATTCACTCTTATCAGAATACACCACATGATTACAACCATTATTCTATAGCACCCACTGTTGTTTCCTTCCTGTCAAGTCCAAATCAGCATGTTGGTTAGAGGTTGAAATGTGTTGTTTGTAGCTCTCAGCAATAATGCAGAATATTTGAATATAGGCTTTCAGTGGGCCGTGTGTCAAGCCAAAGGTACACAGCAGCCCTAACCTGATCTACCACTGGACGGGCTATGGAACACTCTGTACCTTTTGAGATTGGAGAGGGAACCCAGAGGATCTAGAACTAGTGTCAATATCCACCCGTTGGCCCTTTACAGAGACCGAGAACAGACACACACTCTATCTTTCTCTATTGCTCTCTCTCTCTTCCTCCCTCCCCGCATTTCTTTGGTTCACTTTCTCTATCTGTCTTGGGATCTTTCTTTCTCTCTCTCTCTCTCTCTTGCACCTTCTGTCTGTCTGTCTCTCTCTCGCCTTCTTTCTCTCTCTCGCCTTCTGTCGCTCTCTGAATCTCTGTCCCTCCCTCCCCTGTATCTCTACATCTGTCTTGGGTTCTTTCTCTCTCCTTCGCTCTCTTTCTTTCTCCCTCCCTCCCTTTTGTTCTGTTCTTCAGCGCCAGCTGGATTTTCGTTCTGTCACATGGCCAGAAACAGGATCTCTGTGGTTAATAGCAACTAAAATAAGCCTGAAGGTTTATCTCCCACATCTCAGTGCTAGCCAATCATCTGCAAGTGTACCTTGCACTCCTCACTCATTGTTGAGCACACACAATCTCAATGCGGTTTTCTAACCCGACTACTGCGCACTGGGCTCTTTTTTTTCCGCCACCCCGTTGGTCGAAGGGAAGCCTGCTCGCCTCACACCTCTGTAACTTCAACTGAGGGAGCTTTTGGAAGGGTTTTGACAGTGTGACATTCCTTCCTCTCTGACACCGGTGTGTGTGTGTTGGTCCCCCAGAGGTGCAGAGCCCCGAGGAGTGTGCCCAGCTGCTGCGTCACATCGCCAGCGCACCCAGCCTGCCGGCCCAGTACTGGCTCACCTTCCACTGCCTGCTGCGCCACTGGTCCCGGGTGTGCCACAACGCACCCAAGAACCTGCTCAGCTCCCGTGCGCTGGGCGAGATCTTCAGCCCCGTGCTTTTCAGACAGCAGGCTGCCAGGTGGGTGGAAGAAAGAGACAGGCGCACAGACACACACACAGACAGACAGACAGACAGACAGACGTGCGAACACACACACACACACACAGACAGAAACGCGCACACACACAGACGGACGTGCGCACAGACAGACGCACGCACGCACAGACCTCCACAAACTAAAGGAAGCACACCTACTCACTCTGACACACACAAACAAGGACACTGAAACTCAGGCAGGCTGCCCACTCACACACAGGAGTGTACCGAGCCTCTTGCACACAGCCTTGTCAGGCACACACACTCGCAGTGAAAGGATTTAAGTTGGGGAGCTTTTCTATTTGCCAGCTGTGCTGTAGCAATTCAAACCGGGCTTGAAGTCCCAACAGTTAGAGAGAGACTGAGAGAAAGAGGGAGAGAGACCACTGATTAACCAGAACAGCAGGGCCAGTCAGCTGGCATGAAAATCGCTGACTCAATTTCACAGCTTTTTTCTTCTTCTTTTTTTCCGTTCTACTTGTTCACCTTTTCATCATCATCATCATCAGCTGCGAGCCCAGCCCGGATGCTCACATCAAGATCATCGAGACCCTTGTGACCAGCGAATGGACAGAAGCCCAGGCGGCTCCAGGTAAGAAACCCACATTGCCCTTTTCTGTTATTCAGCATCTGGTATGCTCTTCTGGTTGGGAGTGTATGCAGAGATACAGAGTGACTGTCTGTATCTCAGTTCTATATTTAAAGCGAAACGAATGCCCATCCCTGCCTCTGTGAAAGATTTACATTCATGTACTGTGTTATGGAAAATTGAGCATTGACAGAATGGCCCCTGTGCATATATTAAGACTGCAGTGGAGCTAAGCACTTGGTACTGACTGACTGCCGGAGCTGAGGGGAACAGCAGGGGACATGGGCTGTTCTTAGACCGTACAGCCGCACGGCAACTCGCACTGCAGCAGTAGCACAGGCTGTACCGGCTGCACTGCACACAAACAGGTCGCTATTGTGGTGAAAAAGTGGCCCCATCGCATATAGTGATGGGGGAAGAAATCGCTACTGCTACATATCGTTTTTATTTTTTATTGTTCTATTTGAAATATCACTACGCTGTTTTTGATATACATTTTACATTTTATTCATTTAGCACTCGCTCTTATCCAGAGCGACTTAGTTAGTGTGTGCATACATTTTTTATTTATTTTTTCATACTGGTCCCCCGTGGGAATCGAACCCACAACCCTGGCGTTGCAAACGCCATGCTCTACCAACTGAGCTACAGGGGACTATATACACGGCAAATGACGAGAAAAGCAATAAGGCTTTTATTAAACACATTATTTTCCCTTGGTTCTTGCCTAGCATTTGGTTTGCTTCGCGTATAGCCTCCTGTAGCTCAGTTGGTAGAGCATGGCGCTTGCAACGCCAGGGTTGTGGGTTCGATTCCCACGGGGGGCCAGTATGAAAAATGTATGCACTCACTAACTGTAAGTCGCTCTGGATAAGAGTGTCTGCTAAATGACTAAAATGTAAAATGTAAATGTATACTTAGCGTTGGAACCGGCAAAGAATTATTCTGAGATTTTGGAAATGAGGCCCTTTATCTACTTCGCCAGAGTCAGATGAACTTGTGGATACCGTTGTTATGTCTCTGTCCAGTATGTTAGAGGTAGTTTCGCAAGTCATTGCTAGCTAGCGTTAGCTCAATGACTGGAAGTCAATGGTATCTAACTAACAGTTATGCAAATTGCTAAATATACAGTGCATTCGGAAAGTTTTCAGACCCGTTGACTTTTTCCACATTTTGTTACGTTACAGCCTTATTCTAAAATGGATCAAATAAAATAAAATCCTAATCAATCTACACACAATACCCCATAATGACCAAGCGAAAACAGGTTTTTTGAAACTTGTGCAAATGTATACCTTATTTACACAAGTATTTAGACCTTTTGCTATGAGACTGGAAAATTGAGCTCAGGTGCGTCCTGTTTCCATTGATCATCTTTGATGTTTCTACAACTTGATTGGAGTCCACCTGTGGTAAATTCAATTGATTGGACATGATTTGGAAAGGCACAGCTGTCTATATAAGGTCCCACAGTTTCTGTAGCATTGAAGGTCCCTGAGAACACAGTGGCCTCCATCATTCTTAAATGGAAGAAGTTTGGAACCACCAAGACTCTTCCTAGAGCTGGCTGCCTGACCAAACTGAGCAATCGGGGGAGAAGGGCCTTGGTAAGGGAGGTGACCAAAAACCCGATGGTCACTCTGACGGAGCTCCAGAGTTCCTCTGTGGAGATGGGAGAACCATCCAGAAGGACAACCATCTCTGCAGCACTCTACCAATCAGGCCTTTATGGAAGAACTGTCCACATTGACTTTCCGTCAGCCAACAAGATGAGTAGGCCTAACGAACAGCAAAAGCACTAGCCTATGTCAATCTACTTCCCCCATAGTACAAAAGTCGACCTATTCTATGCAATAAATAAATATTCCAAACAGTTGTGGGATGTGATAGATCCCAAATTAATACAACCACTAGCATCAAAACAACTTTGTTACGCAATGAGGCTGACGCAACAGATCAGAACGTTTAGCTTAAAATGTTGATCAACTATTAGGCAATACACACACAGCAGTAGGCTTTAAGCGCAAATGTTCCATTAGTGGGAAAACACCATTATCAAAAGTGACCACAAATGCTATTATGCATGTAATGCTTTTATTATAAAGGTGCATTTTTATGGTTAAAATTATCTTCCTCAAACTTGAAACTCATGCACTGCTTATGTATGCCAGTTAGGCTCTACACCCATTGTAAAGTGGATTAATGTGCTTAATTTTAAGAAGTTATTTGGCCACTTTAGTTGTGATACAAACCTTATTAAAACATATAGGCCTATGGGCTAGGCTTGTGCGACTATGATTCGAAAAAGTCGGCAAAAAAAAAAGGCATTGTTTCTTATGCTGGGCATCATTCACAAGTGATAATATATCATTCACAAGTGAGAGGCTAATATTGTCACCCATCAGACTATTCTTGATTTAATCTTGTCTTTACAAATATTAAATAATATTAGTTTGAAATTTGTTTTGATTTAGAATGGACCATTATCATGCACCTGTATCGAAACGGGCATCTATGCACTTAAATAGCGAATAGAGGACGCTTTTCCCTGTGGTTTATTTTCATGCCAGCCAGGAAGGCTATGCTCCTGTTGTAAATATAAGCCTATTGCGCGAGAAGTGTTTGATTAGATTTTCGAACACATTTGCATTGTCAGAGTGATTAGAGGGACAATGGAGTGCTGAGTACCAGGCAGTTAGCAAGTTTGGTAGGCTACTAATGACCATCAGCAGCATCAGAGCTTGGAGAAGCCTAGTTACCGTGACTAAACGTTCACGTGGAATTTGACTGCCTTCATGACTTGTGACCGCCGGTATGGCGGTAATACGGTCACCGCAACAGCCCTACACGAGTTCATCTGACTCTGGGGAAGTAGATAAAATGCTTCATTGCCAACATCCTAAAGTGTCCCTTTAACCCATAGCAGTCTGTCAATGATGGGTGTTGTGTAAAAATGGGTTGTGTTAATTTCTGGTTTGATGCCGAGGATAGAGCCGCCTTTTGAACAGGAAGTCAGTGGCTTGTTGAGGTCAAAGTGAAAGTAGTTGATGTAGCAGGGTTTTAGGTGGATTCCATCAAACGTTCTGTGTACCCTTGATTCATTATGTAAGACTTTGTACTTTGGCCAGAAATACTCTGTAAACTAAAGTTTTAACATTTCATAAATTCAGGTCATGAAGGAATAAAACCATATATTGTGTAAAAAAGAAAAAAGCAATGTGATATATATATATATATTAATATAAATTTTTTCGCATAACCGGTGGGGTTTGGACTAAGCCTAGCGTTCTCTAGACACTAGCATTCTGGTGTGGGCGTGCACACCGTTGCGTGGCACAGTTATGTTTTTACAGTTGCTAGTTAAGACCGCCTTTGGTGGGCAGCCCGGGGGCCCATTGCCTGGCTGTCACTGTTTTAAACATTTTATTATCTGTTAGGGTCTATTTCTTACGTCCCTCTCACGTGGACCGCTGTCAGTAGTTCACACCTGTAGGAGCAATGGGCCGACTTGGGAGGACGAGCACAAACACTCAACACCGCACGCTTTGACTTCTCTTTCTGCTGAACCAGCCAGGTCTCTTCCTGTGCGAACACACACCTGCGCACACATAAACACACTATGTGCCATGCACTCGTACATACACATACATGCCAGGCAGGTTGGACTCGGAGGGGAGCAGTTTGGCTGTCAAATTCGACCCGTTTAACACCACCTGTGTGTGTGACTGTGTGTACGTGGGCATCTTTGAGAGCATGTGTGAGACTTTCTACGAAAGTGTGGGTATGTATACTGTCTGCAAATGCGTGTTTCTCTGAACGATTGCCTGTCTGTGTGCGTGCCTGGGCACCTCCTCCCAGTTACTGGGTGCCTATTTTAAGTAAGCAGCCAAAGGCCACTTAGATTTGGTTTGACTGGAAACTCTGTCTGTTCCACAAAGCACCTCTTGTTACACCACGACCAGACTGACAGCGTCATTGCGTTTTGGTACACCAGTAGTACATTCATTTCCAATCGAACACTGCATTTGCCTTGCACCAATGCCTTGCAGATGCAGTTGCAGTGCATTCTGTGTGGTGCATATGTTGGATTTATCCAAAGTATGTATCAAATTGTATGCGTTGACTTGACAGAAATATAAACTTTTGTTGCACACACATCCACAAATGTTTGGATTACATAATGTTGTTGTTTTTTACTGCAGAATTTATTACGCATCATTGATGCAATGACACTTTCGGTGAGATCAAGGTGTTAGCCCGGTGGGTGCTCCGACTTCCTAGGCCCACACTCCTCTCCCCGCTGCCTCCCACTTCTAACCCCTCCCTCCCCTCTGCCTCCCACTTCTAACCCCTCCCTCCCCTCTGCCTCCCACTTCTAACCCCTCCCTCCCCTCTGCCTCCCACTTCTAACCCCTCCCTCCCCTCTGCCTCCCACTTCTAACCCCTCCCTCCCCTCTGCCTCCCACTTCTAACCCCTCCCTCCCCTCTGGCTCCCTCCACACGCCCCTCCTAGCCCCAAAGTGGCCAGCTCAGCAAATATTTGAACCTGTGCGAGTTAATCATAAGACTGAACACCCCCCCCCCCCCCCCCCCCCCCTCCTCCTCACTCCCTCCCTTTCGAACACGGAGAGAGAGAGCGTGAGCGAGAGAGACGCGCGCACACAGTTGGTTGGCACTAGGGCCAGGTTTCAGAGTGGGCAGGCAGGGCCAACACCAAGGCAGCAGCTCAGCTAGTCATTAGAGCCACTGAACACGCTGATTGGCACGTGTGTTTTTCTGTTGCTCATTAGAAAAACGAGATTTCAGTCTCGGAGGTGTATTTTATTTTTAGTCATTTAGCAGACGCTCTTATCCAGAGCGACTTACAGTTTGTGAGTGCATACATTTTCATACTGGGCCCCCTGTGGGAAACGAACCCACAACCCTGACGTTGCAAGCGCCATGCTAAACCAACTGAGCTACAGGGGATGTTTCCTGACCTATTCCGCGTTTGGTTAATGATGTTTGTCCCCCATGAGACACTGTAGACACGGAAGCCTATTTCACTTCCTCAAAATCCCCAGAATGAATCTAATTTAACTCAAGAAATCTGTAATTGACGATTTTGCAGAGGATGTTTTAGTTGTGCTATTTTACATCTATCTAAGGTGTTTGGTGGGTGCAGTATTTCTCAAGTTAAGATGCGCGACGTGTTGTCTTATGTAAACAAAGTCGGGCTGCTGGGCAGGTCTGTCTCACTGTCTATACTATTGGATAGAGAGAAATCACTGCAGCTGTCCACCCCATCTTAGTAGGCAAATGTAAATCGTCAAATCAAAACCCAACCTTCATATACCTGTTGTGACGCATGAATGTTTCAAGACTGACTTTATGACCAAAATGATCCTATTTTACACTTTGTAGTAAATTTTGACACTAGGATAACTGTTTCTGACTCATATCGATGCCACATAGGCCGTTTTCAAAGGGATTCGTTGATTTCTGAAGGCAGTTGCTCTTTAACCAGCGGTCCCCATGCGCACAGCCCTCCTCAGCCTGGCATAACATTTAGAGAGAGGGAGAGAGGGGAGCAATAGAGGGGGGGGAGTGAGATAGGGAGGTAGAGAGAGAGTGGGGAGGTAGAGAGCAAGAGGGAGCGGTACAGAGAGGCACGCAGCCCTCCCTCACTGTCACACCACCCGCGTCAGATCAAGGAGCAAGCCAGGCAGTCAGGCAAGCACCTGCCTCCAAGCCAAACCAGAGAGTTACCGGATTACCTGGATTTCATTAAGTACCACTGAACGGACCGTCACCTCCCTGAGAACTAAAGTAAAGTAATCTGGTTTAAGCCACGGAATGGAACTTTTCAGAAGGACTTGAGAGTTTTCAATCTAGACCTCTATCTGTTTGGATTTTACACACCGTTATTGGGAGAATTAAACAAAGACACCACTGGTGCCTTTACCAGAACATGCACAACTTGCAACGTAAGTTTGAGATCTTGAATCGTTGCAAATCTGATACACTGGATAAGCTTAAAGGGTTTATTGCTAATGCAAGGGCTTCAGCAAAACCTTGAGAGAAAGATGAATAGCCAGATAGAAAATGGAAAATAAATGGTAACAGTGCTATGGGACAGAAACAAGACTGACAGGTTTTGTCGTTTTTTTTTTATGGCCTTTCTCCTGGAGCTGTCAAGAGAACAGGTTCTCCTCAAGGCATTTCTCTCTCTCTCTCCGCTGCTGGTTCGTACAGGCCCCATATATCACCCGGCTGTCTTTCTGTGTGGTCAGAACGGCACGCTGATTTATCTAGGGACAACGGTGCAGAATTTCCCATTTGGACTGTACCATTTCAGAGGCAATTTTAGAGGCCCCAATCGGAATATGATTTACTACCGAGCAAAAATAAATACAAAATGAAGTCCATGAATATGAAGTTGAATAATGTATTTAAATGTATAAAATCATATTTGTATGACTTCAATTTAGTGTGTACATGTAGCTAGCTATCCGTAAATGAGATCACATGCCCTTAAAAAGGTACAGCCAAGCTAAACTGTCCTCCTTATCACTCCGATAAGCTTTTATCTGGTATACTTTCAGTCAATGTGGCCTATTTCATCATTCCCACACTGCCTTTGGAAAGACAGCATCCCCCCCCCCCCCCCCCCGGAGAATTACTGGTGTATTCTGGAGCCTCCGGGTGACTGGCGGTAGTAAGTGGGTGGCTGTGACCGGGGCAAAGGCTTTAGGACATCTAGTGGAGCTGCTCTGCCTACGTGCAGCAGCAGCAGCAGAGCTTGCTTTGTCTCCGTGCCAACAGTGGGCCGGACTAAACCGGTACACGACACGCGCGGGGAGGAGGGATTGAGCAACCTGCGGGAGGGAGGGCTGAGAGCCACAGAGCAGGAGAGAAAGAGAGAGGCTGCAGGTTTTTTTTCTCTCCAACTGCGCTAGAGCTAAGAGAAGATGTTTGCAGCAGCTATAGTCGGATCTATCTCTGGAAAGGATGCTGTGTACTAAACAGATTGTTATAGGGGTATTTTAGCCTGTGCGTGTTCTAGTCTATATAGATACTGTGATGTGCACTGCATGGGCTGTGCACATTGAGGGTTAGCAGCGACAACTTAAAATGGGAAAAGGCCAGTGAGCTTTCAAAATGACGACATCGCTTTCTGGAAATGAAAGATGCAAGAGTTGTTGGTGACGGTCCCCCCCGCGCTATTGGCTGTGGTAAGTGATGTAACGCATTACTGAGGAAGGAAGCAGGCAAGCTGCCCTTAAAGATGGCTTTTTAAAATGGGTTTTGAGGTGGTCGTATAAAGAGAACAGGGCTCCATTCCGGACGGATTACGATTTTATCATTCAAATGTGCAGCAAGGCGGTGTCTGAAACATGGAGGATTTGGAGGACTCTTGTCTGAGACCCGAGTTCAACGTCGATTCAGAACCTTTCTTTTACCTAGAGATGGACCCTCCAGGTAGGCGAACTGACTAGCTCATTCACGTTGGATGTTGCATGACAAGTCTGTCTCACTGCATGCTGAGACATTGGTTTAAGTATGGCAGGGATACGATAGTCTAAGGCTAGCAGCTGCAGCGCAGGAAGTTCACAAGGCAAATGCCAGGTTTTCTGGTGGCGATGAAACGTCACCTTGGCTGTCAGCCCAAAACTGCTGCTTGCATTGCCATACCCTCTGGCCATCTCTGAGCACCTCTCTTTTGGATCAGTGGCTTTAGGCACTGCTGCGACCAGTTGGCTGTTGGAAAGATGGCGTTTTCGATAACTCCAGCCAAAGGGAACAGCACTGTTTCATACATTATTCCATCACCATGGATATGGCTCATGTTATAAATATGTATATTATACCCATGGCTCGGTGTCTCTCCTGATATACTCAAGCCTGTGAGGTACACTGCCGCAGGGCAGTAGGCAGATACAGAGCGAGGGAACAAAGGGAGTGCAGCATCTCTTGTGGTTTAAAAATAGCCTGCTGCCATTTCAGCTCTGCTCTCTCCTGCCTGCTCCTCTGAAAGAGTGGCAGCTATGTCGAGCGAGCCTGAGTCACTCGTGTGATTAGCCAATCCAATGCAGTAATTAGGGCTTATTGATTCTGAGAGCTAGCAGCATGAAATAGGAATGATAATCTTTATTGGGGAGAATGCTGTTGCTTAGAAGAAGCCATTGGAAGAGAAAGGACTGGATGTGCTCAATGCAACGTGATGATGTCATTGAGGTTTTTTGTCACTGGAGCTCGGTGGGTTCATTGGTTTCTCTCTACAGGCAGTTATATTGGTGGATATGTGGCTGAGTTATAGGACTTACTTGATGATTATCAGATGGTTTACAGCAATTTGCATTTGAGCTGCTGGCTCAAAGCTGTGCTCCATTTAGGTCTGAAATTATGCAGTGTAATTAATTTTTTCTCTATTTTTTTGTGGCCGTTTTGCAGAAAGGCAGAGATTATCTGTGTGTGGTGTAATTGGGGCAACAGATGGGGTTGATTTCTCGTTGTTGTGATTTATGGTCATGTCCCAACGCTGGGGACTGGAGATGATGGAGGGAAGGGGCTCTTTTTTTCTTGAATGAAATCCATTCTCCCTGACTCACTCGCTCTCGCTGTCTCGCTCTCTCTATATCACACTTGCTCTTTCTCTCGCTCTCTCTCACTGTTGGAGAGCAGTGGTATTCTTTCAGCCCAATGTAATCAATTGGAAAGGATTGGAATGAGAAAGAGCAGTGGGGAGGATGATGAGGGGAGGATACTGCTAACTGCCGCAGACGTTTGATTAGGTTCAAATGGCTCTCTCCTGCTCGCGGGGCTAACAGATGTCCATTTGAATGTGTATCGTACAGATTTGTGGGCCAATTTAATTATCCGCAAAGCAAATGGAAGAATATTGGCACTCGCAGCTATAGAGTAATATATATTTCTACAACCCCTTTCAGCTCTCCCCTGGCATACTGGCCTAGCATTACATTATATAGACTACGCCAGGATTTTCTGACATATCACTCCTGATAACTGCATGCTCCTGTTTAATGTACTAGGGAATTGACTGTATCATCATCACATGAACTAAGCAGCCATCTCTCTCCCCTCTCGTACACTACAGCCCTACCTCCCAAGCCACCCAAACCCACGCCCCCTGCTGTCACTAACAACGGTATGAACAACAACATGGCGCTGCAGGACGCCGAGTGGTACTGGGGAGACATCTCCCGCGAGGAGGTCAACGAGAAGTTGAGGGACACGGCCGACGGTACGTTCTTGGTCCGTGACGCCTCCACCAAGATGCACGGCGACTACACACTCACGTTGAGGTAAGTCTTTCTCCTTCCCTCGAAAAGACTCACTTCTCACCATCCTTGATAACTAGTGTTTGTTGAATATTTAGTTTTTAATTGGTTCCCTCCCTACTGGTCTCCACTTACAGAAAAGGGGGTAACAATAAGCTGATAAAGATATTCCACCGGGATGGGAAGTATGGCTTTTCAGACCCCCTGACCTTCAACTCGGTGGTGGAGCTCATCAACCACTACCGCAATGAGTCACTGGCCCAATACAACCCCAAGCTAGACGTCAAGCTGCAGTTCCCCGTCTCCAAACACCAGCAGGTAACCGTCAGCATGATCATAAACTTTATTTGTTTAGGACGTTTCACACAATACGTCATAGTTCAAAGTCTTTGCAAATGAATCATTGTAGATCTACAGCTCTAATCCATTTCTTCTACTCCCCTTCTCAGGATCAGGTGGTGAAGGAGGACAACATCGAGGCTGTGGGGAAGAAGCTCCATGAGTACCACCAGCAGTACCAGGAGAAGAACCGAGAGTACGACCGACTCTACGAGGAGTACACCAGGACGTCCCAGGAAATCCAAATGAAAAGGACAGCGATCGAAGCATTCAACGAAACCATCAAGATCTTCGAGGAGCAGTGCCAAACGCAAGAGCGGTACAGCAAGGAGTACATTGAGAAGTTCAGGAGGGAAGGCAATGAAAAGGAGATCCAGAGGTAAGCACTTGATCTAGACCCCCCCCCCCCAAACGGCAAATAAAATACAATTTGGACATTGTTTTCTTATCTGATCAATTTCTTAACGCTTCATAACTGAGTTATTGTTTTCCTCAGGATCATGGGCAACTATGAGAAACTGAAGTCTCGTATCAGTGAGATCGTGGACAGCAAGCGGCGTCTAGAGGAGGATCTGAAGAAGCAGGCCGCTGACTACCGAGAGATCGACAAAAGGATGAACAGCATCAAGCCCGACCTCATCCAGCTCCGCAAGACCAGGGATCAGTACCTCATGTAAGTAACATAGATATATCACCGCCTAGTCTCAAATAAATTCAAATAACTTTATTGTTCTGGTGATGGGGAACGTCTTGTAAAGGTCTCAATACTTCCGGTCTCTAATCTGTCTTTTCATGGTTCTTGTGTTCCAGGTGGTTGACCCAGAAGGGAGTCAGGCAGAAGAAGCTCAACGAGTGGCTGGAAATCAAGAACGAGAACACGGAAGAGTGAGTATTATAGACTGACCTTCCATCCATTTTATGTTCCTGGTATCTAACGTTGACAAAGTTATGGGACAAGCAATGGGGAATCACATCGCACCGTTGTTCAATCTGCAAAGGTTTGCCATTCAATATCAAACTTTAAGTATCTAACTCCCTCCGTCCATCTATGTTCTCCAGTCAATACTCTATGGTGGATGACGATGAGGACCTCCCCCACCACGACGAGCGCTCCTGGAAGCTGGGCAACATCAACCGGCTGCAGGCCGAGGCCCTCCTCCGGGGGAAGAGAGACGGAACATTCCTGGTCCGAGACAGCAGCAAGGCAGGATGCTACGCCTGCAGTGTTGTGTATGTATAAAGACCTTGTTCTCATTCTACTGTCTTACAATAGTATAGTTGTGTAAGCATCTACCTCATCCTGAACTGGCCCTTACCTGCATTTGGTTACTGATGCAACATAATTTACCTAGGCTTTTGTACGGCTACACAGTTTGGGAACAGGTGTAGACGTTGTAGCTTGACAGTGTTCCCAGACTGTGCTGCACTACACCCTTTCTGTTTACCCCAACCTGAAGTCAAGCTGTTTGCTTCTACACTGTTCAGTACATTGACGTTTGCACTGCAAACACAAATTCAGAGACTGTAGACTTTACAAGCACAGGTGTAGCCTTCAGTGTAGACATTGCAGCTCAACCATGTCTAGAGTATAGGGTAGAACCTCGTGTGACCAAGGGTTTGATGATTAGTCAAGTCGTAGAGTCAGGTGTGCCCTAGTGCTGGGACCGAAAATGTACAACCTGGCCTAATAGAATATGACTTGACTTTTCTCTCCTTCTCCGTCTCTCCTCTCCAGTGTGGAAGGTGAGGTGAAGCACTGTGTCATCAACAAGACGCCCTCAGGGTTTGGCTTCGCCGAGCCTTACAACCTGTACAGCTCACTCAAAGAACTGGTCCTCCACTACCAGCACACGTCGCTGGTCCAGCACAATGACTCTCTGAATGTTACGCTAGCGCACCCCGTCTACGCACAGCAGAAGCGGTGAGGACCCTCTTGGCCATTCAGTTGGACAAAAACATGAAAGGGCCTCGTTTTCCTAAAAATGTAGATTTATATATTGTGCTCGGACTTTGGACTCAAAGATTTGAAAAGGCTAGGCCGTGTCTTGCCTACTAACAGACTTTTGACCCACGAGAGCGGAAAGGACTAAAGAGACCAACGCAAAACGAAGCCTGAAAACATTTCAGCGACTGTGAACTGACTGTGAGCAGTGGCGAGAGCCTGAATGTAGTCTTGTTTCTCTCGTGCTTATTGTGGGAGCATATAGAGTCAAGGTGAAACTGCTGAACTCTCTCCCCAGCGGAGGACATTGGAGGCCTTTTCCTAATGGTGCTTGTTCTTTTCAAAGCTTTACCAGCTGGAATGTCAAAACACAGATAAAACTCGAGTGCATCATTTTTTTCCTACTTTTCCTCTTTTCCCCCTTCTGTGTTTTTACTTTCAAGTCTATCTCCCTGCGTGTGTGTCCGTGTGTGAGAGAGTGTGTGTCCATGTGACCAAAACTCACAGTATCTGAAAGCTGTTTGGTGTTGGGGGTGTCTAACACACCTGTGTGTAAGTGTTCAGTGACAGACCATGGATCGGCTGATAAATGTAGCAAAATGGCACTTTTGACAAAGTATAATCGTTTTCTTGAAAAAGACTCCTACGGACTTACAGTGCAGAGACTCTAAACTGTTCTCTACTGTGGATGAGTGAAAATATGAACAGACTTGAAATGGAAATACTTAATTATGTATATATACAGAGGGGAACGTCAGTACACAGCAAACCTACCGCACCATACCAAAAAAAAGCTCAGTTAATGTTCAGTTATGTCCTAATCTGCTATGCAATTATGTATCTCCCTTATTTCTACAAAGATGTGTTTTTATTCTGTTGCAAACCCATAATATAAGCTTGTTTTTAATGCTTGAAAAGGTGTATTTTTCCCATGTAAATATCCAAGAGGATATTTTGTGTCAAAATGCCACAGTAAAAACTGCTTCAGATTTTTAAGAAAGTTAATAATAGTAACATATACTTTATTACAAACTACTTTATCAGCAACTGGTATAAAGATGGAAAATATGAGTATTTTATTAGTACTTTTTTGCTTCAAACTGAACTTCTCAGGCAGAGCCTTTTGAGTATTTGACAGCTGCTTCAGTCACAATAAATATTTCTAACATAGCCACATGGTTTTAGGTCTTTGTCGAAACAATGGTAGCATCCCAAGTGTCAACCTATTCCTTATAGTATACAGGGAGGAGGGTGCCATTTGAGAATGATGGGAATATTTGTTGATTACTGCAATCATAATGGTGCATGTTGTACTCCCCTTTTCAGCCATCTCCATGGAAACAACAGTATAGATTTATTTTGTTATATAACCTTTCCCCAAGGAAATCAAAGCAAATCGGTGTCTTGAAATGATGGAAATTGTTATTAAAAAGATCAATTGGGAGACATTTTATCTTCCCGTATGTATTGTCCACATTGTATTTTTTCTGTATCAGAAAATATTTTGAGTTGTTTACATGGGTGGATCAAGTAATTTTGAATAGTCTGTGATTTCCTATTCTCATACAACATTGTATACCAAGTGGTTCTGTTACTTGGAGAAAATACCCAAATTTAGCTGCCAACCCACTAGTAAACATTGGTGTCACTGCTGCACATTTCCCCTAAACTTTTTTCCACCCCTGGCTTTATTCCAAGATGTAAATGTCTGAGTCTAAATTAAGGTGTTAATCTATACTACACCGTCAACATGTATCAGTGGAAATTCACATTGATAGAGATTTTGACGTAACATGACAAAAATAATCATCTTGATACATTTCCTTTCGAGTCAGTTTTGTCCCCAGAATTATAAACATACTAACTTTTTTTGTCGATGCATAGATTGGATTTTTCATTCTAAAATATTATGGTTAACTTTGAGAATTAGACTATCATCCAAGCCCAGTCAATATAAAAAGGAAATACAATAATTTTAGTTTGGTGACATTTATGTTCAGAAGTAGGCCTACTCGCCTTAAAATAATTTAGATGTTTGATTTGTTTAAATCTACACTGGCCGGCATTGTTGGCAAATTTAACCCTCTACATCATCTATCCCTATTAGAAACATTAAAGAAATGTGTAGTACGAGTATTAACCTATTACATTTTATTTTTAATTCCCCCTTCCCTTTGACATAAATGGCTAATGAGACGTTTCAATCTTTGGCACCACTATTATACCTGTATAGGGCCTATATTTGCAGGGAGTACATTTCCTCAAATCCCATGGTATACTAAGGTTGGGAAGATAAAGAGAGGCATTAGATATGTTTCATTCAGGGGAAAAAAAGTGTTGTTAATGTTGGGTAAACTTATTTTCTTCTCTCTGGGTGAAATAGTATGCATTTGTTAAACGGGGCAATGGGAGTGGTGCCTTTTGGTGTGGGTTCTGTTTACAACAATGCATTTATTTTCTTACATGTATGACCCCCATTACTTTTTGTGAGCCCCGATGGGAGTGGAATTTGACAAAGCGTAAACAAACTTTTTAACACACACAAAATAGTCAGTGCAATGTGTACGAGATTTGTTCACACTGTCTAGCAGATTTGCGTCAGTGTATGACCAAAACGATCATCATGTAGAATGTATTTTTACACGTGAAGATTAATAGTTTTCTCGCACATTTGACGTTAACTGTTTCTCTTTTGCTTTGCGCATATTGGTTCACTCAAGGCCAATAACTTCTGAACCAGCTAAAACTAAGCAAGTTTGGATTTGAACTACTATGCCACCTCTGGGACAAATAACCATTGTACTATACCTTTGTACCTTTTTCAAGTTTGTTGTATAAATGTAGTTTGATCCCAGGCTGGTCTTGTTTGTTTCACATTTGTCCAGAGTCGTCTCGCTCTACACTCTGTCCTTTTGGAAAAACCTGCACCGTTTTGATGGTGAGACTTTTTATATTTTCTCCCTCGCTGACTGACTGGATGACTTCAGTTGACACATTCACCTGTGAGGTGACTGTGACAGAAACGTTGAGATTGCAATTGACCAGTGTTCCCCAGTTTTGCTTCAATTGTGTATTGGGCTTTGTTAAAAGAAAATAAACATTTGTTTTTAAGAAGAAACAACTAATTTTCAGTGTTATTATTGAAGTAAATTGCTCATTTTCCCACAGTATTGTGACATCCATGGACCCATACCAGCCAAAAAGGACAACTTGATGACAAAAAAAAGAAAGATAAAAGGCTCCTTTTCAGTTGCAGAACTGGGTACAGTTGGGTGTCTTTTTGAGGTTATGCAAATTCTGTGATGGCATTATGGCACAGCATTGATGTCATCAGTTAAAAGACAAAAACAGAGTGACAGAATGCTTTGTTCCCTCAGAGAACATTCACACTGTAACTTAATTTATAGAGGAATACAGTACCAGTCAAAAGTTAACACACCTACTCCTTCCAGGGTTTTTCTTTATTTTTACTATTTTCTACATTGTAGAATAATAGTGAAGACATCAAAACTATGAAATAACACATGGAATCATGTAGTAACCCAAAAACTGTTAAACAAATCAAAATGTATTTTAGATTTGAGATTCTTCAAATAGCCACCCTTTGCCTTTGACAGCTTTGCACGCTCTTGGCATTCTCTCAACCAGCTTCATGAGGAATGCTTTTCCAACAGTCTTGAAGGAGTTCCCACATATGCTGAGCACTTGTTGGCTGCTTTTCCTTCACTCTGCGGTCCGACTCATCCCAAACCATCTCAATTGGGTTGAGGTCGGTTGATTGTGGAGGCCAGGTCATCTGATGCAGCACTCCATCACTCTCCTTCTTGGTCAAATAGCCCTTACACAGCCTGGATGTGTGTTTTGGGTCATTGTCCTGTTGAAAAACAAATGATAGTCCCACTAAGCGCAAACCAGATGGGATGGTGTATTGCTGCAGAATGCTGTGGTAGCCATGCTGGTTAAGTGTACCTTGAATTCTAAATAAATCACACAGTGTCACCAGCAAAGCACCCCCACACCATAACACCTCCCCCTCGATGCTTTATGGTGGGAACCACAGATGCAAAGATCATCCGTTCACCTGAAATGTTCCGCATTGACTGACCATGTCTTAAAGTAATGATGGACTGTTGTTTCTCTCCACTTATTTGAGCTGTTCTTGCCATAATATAGACTTGGTCTTTTACCAAATGGGGTTATCTTCTGTATACCACCCCTACCTTGTCACGACACAACTGATTGTCTCAAACGCATTAAGAAGGAAATAAATTCCACAAATTAACTTTTAACAAGCACACCTGTTAATTAAAATGCATTCCAGGTGACTACCTCATGAAGCTGGTTGAGAGAATGCCATTTAACACTTTTTTTGGTTACTACAGTCGTGGTCAAACATTTTGAGAATGACACAAGTATTGGTCTTCACAAAGTTTGCTGCTTCAGTGTTTTTATATATTTTTGTCAGATGTTACTATGGTATACTGAAGTATAATTACAAGCATTCCATAAGTGTCAAAGGCTTTTATTGACAATTACATTAGGTTTATGCAAAGAGTCAATATTTGCAGTGATGAGCCTTCTTTTTCAAGACCTCTGCAATCCGCCCTGGCATGCTGTCAATTAACTTCTGGGCCACATTATTGCATAATCAATGTTTGTCAGAATTTGTGGGTTTTTGTTTGTCCACCCGCCTCTTGAGGATTGACCACAAGTTCTCAATGGGATTAAGGTCTGGGGAGTTTCCTGGCCATGGACCCAACATTTCGATGTTTTGTTCCCCGAGCCACTTAGTTATCACTTTTGCCTTATGGCAAGGTGCTCCATCATGCTGGAAAAGGCATTGTTCGTCACCAAACTGTTCTTGGATGGTTGGGAGAAGTTGCTCTCGGAGGATGTGTTGGTACCATTCTTTATTCATGGCTGTGTTCTTAGGCAAAATTGTGAGTGAGCCCACTCCCTTGGCTGAGAAGCAACCCCACACATGAATGATCTCAGGATGGTTTACTGTTGGCATGACACAGGACTGATGGTAGCGCTCACCTTGTCTTCTCCAGACAAGCTGTTTTCCGGATGCCCCAAACAATCGGAAAGGGGATTCATCAGAGAAAATGACTTTACCCCAGTCCTCAGCAGTCCAATCCCTGTACCTTTTGCAGAATATCAGTCTGTCCCTGATGTTTTTCCTGGAGAGAAGTGGCTTCCTCGCTGCCCTTCTTGACACCAGGCCATCCTCCAAAAGTATTCGCCTCACTGTGCGTGCAGATGCACTCACACCTGCCTACTGCCATTCCTGAGCAAGCTCTGCACTGGTGGTTCCCCGATCCCGCAGCTGAATCAACTTTAGGAGACGGTCCTGGCGCTTGCTGGACTTTCTTGGGTGCCCTGAAGCCTTCTTCACAACAATTGAACCTCTCTCCTTGAAGTTCTTGATGATCCGATAAATGGTTGATTTAGGTGCAATCTT